ATGTGGACCGTTACGGAAGCGCGTAAGCAGTCAGCAGAAAACAAGTCAATGCCACATTTATTTGTTCAAAGATAAGTGAAACAAACGTGTCATTCTCTAAGCTAGTGCATTTTGCAAGGAGCTAGAATAGTGCTGCGATACCGGCAGCTGTTCTAAATTATGCGAGTCAACTTGTTCCTCCTCATCATCACTTTCTTCACCCAATTGATACAACGTCTCCGAAGGCAATGTCGATGTATCGTTTATGAGATCCTTGAGTGTCTCCGTTAAATCTCGTTGCTCGGCCTTTGTCGTTCGGATCCATCTCCGACTAACCATCCAACTTGCGACACCTTTAGGAGGAAGACCAATACTCTCCTTCGGAGTGCCAATCGCACGGTCCATCTTGGTTGCAGTGCGCTTGCCAGGCAGCGCCAAATCTTCCTGATCCAAAGTATGCAGAAAACGCAAAAGGCGATTACTTCTCCATAAATAACCCCGAGTATAAACAAATTTGGGTTGCGAAGCATCTGCCTCGTCGTCCGTTTCTTCTGAAGACATACAATCCATCTGGAGCGCGCCATCGAATCCAGCATGCTGGAAAATGGGAATTTTGGCACGCGCAGTCGTACGAGAAGTGAGTTTCTAATCGTCGTAATGTTTATCAATCTGAATACATAGAACGTTGTACAAGCTTACTGTTTTCCTACGTGCAAATCTCCGTGCATGCCGTGCCTTTTGATCTCCTTTACTTTTAGCAGTCTCCGCTTCTTTTGCGTCATGCTGAACTTTATATGCTTGTCGTAGGGTAGTGAAAACTTGCTCAAACGCGGATTCCAAAACACTGGGGTTAAAATCGCTGTCAGGAAGTTCCGAGTACAGCTGACGGTTTGATTTGATATCTTGAGTAACAAATGTTTTCATATACATATTATGCGAGGATTGTTTTGTGGTTTTGTGCCAAATGAACCGTAACGGATGAGAGGGATCATAGGGAGCACCTTCAGGATGGTTGCCGGGAAGGTTTTGGGTACCTTCGATGTGCATCAGGCGTAGAATATGCCTACGTATCGCTTCCTGAGAGATCAAGGTAAGCGAACCAGGATTATTCGAGCAAAAGAAGAAAAATATTACATTAATATTTCGACATTTTTTCTGATAGGGTGTCGGAGCCTTGGGAAGGGTTTCGGTAGAGTCGTCCTTCCGGTTTGAACCACGACTTTCTGAAACCGATTCAGGGGTGACCATCCCAGAAGATACGTTTTCCGGTCTAAGCAGAGGGGACACTGAAGGCGATAATGACGACGGAGGAGGTGGTGGCGACAAGGCAGAAGAATCATACCGTGGAGATTGATAGGTAGATGGGTCTGGAGCATAATGTTGCGAGTATGATCCTTGAACGAATGAATCAGATACGGGAGAATGATACTGGGTAACAGGATTGTGAGAGGCAGGCGAGTGAGCTTGTGGGCTAGTATGACTGGCACCGAAAGCCGATCTAAGCGAGTAGAGCTCCTGTCGCATTTCCATCATTTGTCTCTCGAGCTCTGCCTGCCTTTGAGTATATCTTTCTTCCTGTTCCTGCTCCCAGGCCATCCTCCGCTTGCGCTCATTTTCATGCGCTTGATTTGTTTGTTGAACGACGCGTAAAAGCTCCTGCATCGCGCCATGGCTTTGTTGGGGTCTATAAACTGTGAGATTAAGCCTTCAACGCACAAGTTGAATGCTGACTGATATACAGGAACATATTGTGGCTCTGAAAAGGCCAGTTCTAGTTCACTTCGATGGGGAACATGTTGCGAGGAAGATTGGATAACTGGCTGAAGATGCTCAGCATAGTCGTAGTTTGACACATGTGAGTTTCTTGGCTGAGTATAATATGGATTGAGAGCATCTGAAAGCTCGCTGGACATGGCAATGAGTTTACATAAAGCCGGGATAGACGCCCGTATTCATGTTGTCAAGATAGATTGCTGACTTTTCCCAAGCATCTCTGTTTCTTACCACCATCTCTGAAAACATGTCAGAACCTCTGGCAGTACCTGCTCCAGCTGTGGCACCAATTGCACCTAGAGAGCAGGAAGATGGTTCACGGATAGAGCCAGAAGAGGTTGCCGAGGAGCCAATACCAATAACGGAACAGGAAGTCGGGGAATACAGAGAACAGGATCGATACTTGCCTGTAAGTTGTAGCAGAAACTAATCTTGGGATTCAATTTCTTAGCATCCGACTCTAGATCGCCAACGTATCGCGAATAATGAAGTCTTCCGTACCATCGACAGCAAAGATTGCTAAAGACGCGAAAGAATGCGTACAAGAGTACACGATCCAAGGCTTTCTCTCAGGCAACTGCAATCTCATTCTTTTCGTTTTTAGATGCGTCTCTGAATTCATATCATTCATAACATCCGAAGCTGCAGAAAAATGTCAACTAGAGAAGCGGAAAACGATAGGCGGTGAAGACATTCTGTACGCTATGGGATCGTTGGGCTTTGACAACTATGCGGAATGCCTAAAGGTGCATTTAGCTAAACTACGAGCAGTAGGTTTCTTTCCTATGGTTTTATTCGTCTTTGGAATCATCCTTTATCTCTTTAGCACCAGCATGGAAACACTGGAAACACTGGTGGAGGGGGGGCACGCAACGTCGAAAGAATAGATGAAGAATGAGACGGTGTCCTCACATGCACTCCGGTCTGTGATCTCGCGGAAACTACAAAGTTGGAAAATGTGCTCAAATTGTTCCCAGAACCCAGACATATCTATTCTAGTATTTGTATGTCTCGGCATTCTTGATACTGGTCCTTGCTCACGATTGTCGTTAGATTTGTTGTGCCACTTTACGACTTGCTATGATGGTCGATCTACACGTTGATTATCTGCCGTTAGGCCTGGGTTCAATCAGATGCTCACGCCTGAGTATCGCACTGTCAGCCGTGGGTACCTGTCGATTTTCGTCGTCTTACCTCCAAAATGTTCGAACTACCTTTGGTTTGCTTCCAAACGCGTAACCACCTTTGCTAGACTTCTATAACGTGACCGAGTATGTATACTTTTCACTCTGAAGCTCCTATATGATATCCGAATTACTTAAGCCCAAATGGTTTAGAGGCTGCCTCAATAGAAAGCGCATGGACTTCGAGGTGAAAGAAACGGTTACTTTCCTTACGTTCTACGCAAGTGCATGGCTTTGTTCTACTTTTATCGCTCGCTCTACATGTATACATAATTAGCCCCATTGTTGGCTAGCTCGGTACACGTCGGCTCCGCTGCTCCCTTTAAGTTTTCATGTGTCTGCCCTTGGTCACGCCTCCTCAGAAGAGTCGTGGATCAACATTTCCACCTGAGCTATGTGGTACGGGTAACAGATCCATGCTTCCGTTGTGATTTTATTTATACAGTGAAGCAAGCCGAAGGCTAGCAGAGTAATATCATCCCTGTTGAATAGTGGAAAGGCTAGGAAGCTAGCTTGCGCATCTGAGATAAGGGAGATGATAATGTATGGGCCAAACGTGCCGAGTATGGAGTAAGATAAAAGCTAACAAGGGCCCTAAGCAATATTCGGTAAATAACTGTTGAAACGTTGTACTGTTGCTGAGAAAAAACTCACCAAAGTGCGCCTTGAAACAGAGGACTCATAACCTGGTCTCGTAGCGTGATCCACAATACATGACCCCATTCAATATTCGCAGGTTCAGTTTTTCCAGAACCCTGCTTAACTTTTCGTTCTCCTTTTCCTTCGGGTTTCTGCGCAGGTTTCAAGCTACGAAAATGGATATAGGGTTGGATACTCCGCAAGTAGCTGATTTCAAAACGCAGGTCGGGAATTGGTGGACGGCGATGTCGTTCATGGCGATCATTATTGTTTCTGGTAGGATACTGGTGCTTATATTCATGAAAGACCAGTGGAGGATTCGAGGCCATGGCGGTTTCGCAGAGGACGGAATCAATTACGTCATCATCAAAGTCGATCTACTTCCGTGTCCCCCAAGTTCACTATCAAGAATCTACAGCTAGGAACTACGTGAATACACTTTCCAGTGGTACTTATTGAAAGTATTTTGCAAAATAGATACAATAATATCTACATACTTGTAATCTCAAAAGAAAGCAGCTCTAGAACTCCCCAAGGAACAACACTGCGACCAGGATGTCCTGCGGCTCAGACTAGTCTTACTCTGACGCAACACTCTCCTGGATGCGATGCTCTCTAGTTTCTATAAAAGCTGCCTTCACCAGTACTCTTCCGTCTTACGTCCACCTTATGAATTCTCTCGACACTAGTACTTTCCCCATCGAGCTCATCGCACTAATCATCCATGAAACATGGGCATCTTCACTAACCACTTTCGAGCGCGCCCGGTTCATAAAAAACTCTCTCCTCGTCAACTCTACCTGGATGAAATTTTTCATTCATGAATCCTGCACAAACGTTCATCTAGTCAGCGGCCAATACGCTTTGCACTATGGCGATATCATAGACGGGAAATCAGCGGTATACAATTTCATCGCTCGTATTGATGGTGTAACTGTCCGCAGACTGTGCCGTTCGTTTACCATTCACTGCATCGACCCGCGTATCGTTCCTCAGCCTCCCGAAACCCGATGCTATGTCGGCCCCGTACATCCCATGGGCGTATCGGCTCACATATTCGTGAGTCGATTGCAGCAAGGAGTTTTTCCCAACTTCAATGGACACATAGTTGTCCAATATTCCAACAAAGTGCCATTTACCCTTATGGATCTACTGATGTGGCAGTTCCCGGATACTCTGAAAGGTGTCAAGAGAACTTGGGGGCTGTCAACTTCTGAATTTTGGGCGGTGGGGCTATCGGGCTTGAATCCACAAAATGCAACTTCTCTCTACGATTTACTGGTCGCATTTTTGGAAATTGTGACAGATGTTCATAAAGGATCGAACATCGGCAGAAGTCCACCTTGGGATTCAGTCACCAGTTGATTTATACATACTTAATATTATGGAGTTGCGTCCAAAAAAAAGTGAGGAAAAATGCACTATGGGCCTAACCGGGAATTGAACCCGGGACCTCTCCCATTTGAGCAACCTCAGTTGCGAGTAAAACCCGAAGGGAGAATCATACTACTAGACCATCAGGCCGACGTTATAAAGTGAAATTAGTTTGAAATAGGTTGTATTATGTTGCATTTATTAAGAACGAAATCAAAAGAACCAAGTTGTGATTTCCTCTTGTCATCCCACACAAAAGTCATCCAAAAGAGTCAATCAGAAAGGATGGAACAGTTAAAACGGTAAAGTAAACCATTTCACATATGAGGGCCTGACCGGGAATTGAACCCGGGACCTCTCCCATTTGTGCAACAGCGATTGCGAGCTAAACCCGAAGGGAGAATCATACTACTAGACCATCAGGCCGATGTTTAAAAGTCGAATTATGTTTAGATAAATATCTGCCGCATATAAAGCGTCCATATATACAATAATGATACTAATAGTTAAACTCTGCTCGGCAACGCTTCATCAAGCACCTTTCGTCCATTCCTCGTTGTTTCTACCATCACCACGGTAGAAACAATCAACATCACCGTCAGAGTGATCAACCCTAACCACGCAAAGGCTAGAAAAGCGGAAAGAATCTGACACGCTTGAGATCCCTGACAAAATGAAAGGTCGCCGAAGATGCTCTGGCAAGTCGTGTAATCAATCAGTATCGCGGCACACGTACAGAAGGAGACTGAAACAACTTACAGATGCTGCTGCTGCTCCTCCGAGCCACAAGAGCCAAAGTATCACCAAGCCAAGAAGTTCGTGCCAGTATAGCCGGAGAAATTCCAGTTCGAGCTTCTTGATAAAGAATATACATAACCTGTCCACGCAGTTGAGGAGTACAGTATGAATGGATCAGCGGTACGCACATCAAAACACACCACAGCAGAGTGACTATTGTTGTGAACAGTAGCTCTGCGACGACGGGCTCTGCAAAGCCGTTCAACTCGGATTCTGTGTAGTAGTATGGAACGGCGTACCGTAAAAGCGTTGACCTAGTGTAAAATTAATCCGAACGCAACATAGGACGAACAGGATAAATGTGAATAGGAGCTGTTCAGATTCAAGTTAGTAATTTTGAATATTTCGTTTTGAGAACGTACCAAAGTTATGTATAATATAGTGCGAAACAAGGCTAAGCTAATGTTGGCCATTCTAATAAAAAGTATCGAGTCGGAGGTGGAACGTGGAAGGTCGAATCAAGTGTTAAGTAGCTGGCTTATTGAGGAAACGCAAGTGGAGTGACATGATGTCAGATTTCAATATAATGAGTGGCTTAAACGCGATAGAGGAGCAGATGCAACGTGGTTCTATTTGAGCTGCGCGAAGCATGGAAGGTAACATTAAGATTAACACCCCATCTGGAGCAACTGTAAAAAGTCCGAACAAAAGCAAATGCAAACAGGCAAGTATGCCATGAAGAACTGTACTATAGAAGGGTATACGAAGGGCTAAATCAAATCTAATGTGAACTGGTACATAGTCGTTAGCACGGATTGTTACGCTGGCGGTGTGCACTCACATCAGAGACGGTTGAGGTAGTAAGTGGAACCAGGGACAGCAGGCGCGGGCTCGGGGGAGCGCTTGCGCTGGGAAGAAGGGGGCGTAGCTTTTTTAGGGCACTCCTCTTCCGCGCTCGTACAGTCACCGGTGAGCTGATTATATAGCGGTCAAAAAAGTTCAAATGGAAAAGCATCAACGGGACTCACTACGCTGTACACGCACTTGAGGTGAGATGTGCTGCTAGTGTGTCCGTAGTAACTAAATGAACAAAATGAGTGAATAACGAGTATATTATATATCGAATACGACTTACGTGCATCCGAAAGAAGGCTGGGAGGTAGGATGATGTCCAAGGTCACTGAGCCACTCAATCATGGACATGCCGGTGTTGGCGGTAGGGGGGCATGAGTATCCATAAGGGGCGGTTGAAGAAGGTTTGGGCTTTGGAACCGGGGGGCTTCTAGCAAGAACAGAGCCTGCAAGAGCAACAGCGACAATAGCAGTGACGAAACGCATGTCTATCAAATGAACGAAGGTGGGTATAACGAGTGGAAGGGAGAGCAGGGAGGAAACTGTTACGCGACCAACAAATAGGCTTTATATATACCACCAGAAAAAATAAATACATAAGCATCCATCAGAAGGCGGAGCAGTTTTTTTTAGCAAGTCCGTAGGGTAAAGTCAGGGTAAAGTACATCTTAGGTATGGAAAAAAAGATATACAGCAACAATTCCTTGCATTCTTCGTACTCTGACAGAACAGAAACATTCTGAGGCTTGAGCTACGTTCTCCTGGTAGAAATTTGACGAGTAGCAGTATGTAATGCCGTTAACTTGGAGCCGATGCAGCGGGAGTCGCGATGTGGAAAATGATGGTCGGTTAACGTTTTTAAGCGCTGAGCGCTGAGCGTCCAATGGAGAATTTCTGAGAGTTGTTGTGAGCTTGTGAGCCGAAATGAACATCTAAATTTACACTGACAGTTTCACGGTTCCGAGTGAAACCGCGATAGACTAAAGGGCTCCAAGAAAGCAAGTGGAGTGAGATAAACACTAATTAAAAATGAATTAGGACATGGGCTGGATACAACCAGCGGCACGCTGGCTAAGGGAACGAGGAGCTTTAAATTACTCCGAGTGAGCTTTCCTCTCACATATCTTGTGCACTTGTCTGCTAGTGCTGAACTAGTGTTGAATATCAAAGAACATTATAGGCAGTTTCAGAACGAGCTCTCTCATTTGGAGTCAGTTCGGCAACCTCAGATTAAGAGGGCGGGGTTCAAGTGATAAGGAGGGTGGGAATCCGTAGATGGCAGTGGGAAGGAAGAAGGGCGCAGCACAAGCGTTACAAGCATTGGTAAATTACTAAATAACTATTGCGTTGAAAGTTGAGAGCATTATACTAATTGTAGCCGACAAGCAGACTGGACCAACACCTCCGAAGCCGACACCAGCGACAGGCGATTTCGCGCTTGTGCTATCGAGACTGTACAAGACTGTACATCGGTACGTCAAAACGTGAAAAGACAACGCATATGAGCTTGATTAACATCATAACGAATTTTGGATAGCTGAGTGCTCTCGAAAGCTCAGTCATGTATATCGAATTAGTTCGGATTACAGTTTATTAAATAAAATTACATCTCTACATTCATTGGCTCTGGTTGAGAAACACCAATCTTCATTACCATCTCTAAATCATGTTTGTCTCGATCTTCACACCGGCAGCTACTCCTTCAGATCATTCGATCTCTGCTGTTTATAGTACTGGGATAAGACACTTGCCCGATCGCTCCTCCCCAGTCAAAGTCCACAAGTTTGACTGATGGGAGGCCGTCGTCAACAGATGATCTCCTTATCAGAAGATTAACATTCCGCACATCTCCATGGACAAACCCTTCGTCATGCAGACGCTTCACGGCGGTGAGAGCCTCTTTCTGCATCTTTCTCTGGATGTGTAGGTCCAGTCGGTCTGCGGGGACATACGCGCCGGATATATCATCCATGACTATCATGTACCAGCCGTAAAACTCGTTGACCGCGAGAAGTCGTGGAGCGATGTTGGCGTCCGAAGCGGCCCTATGTGCATCTTTGGAATACCGACGAGTAAATTTGATGATCACATGCGAGCCGTCGTCCTTCATATGTGCACGGTAAATGCGTTTTTTGTCCGTGGAATCACGCTGTTTGTCCTCCCAGTGCTCATAGACAAAATAATGCTTCTTCTTGTCGATTTCGTAGAAGTCAAGGTATGGAAAGTTGATGTTGGAGCGAACCGGTTTGGTCTTGAACACCTGAGTGGAATAGTAGTTGGCGAGCTTCTCGATTGCAATGCGTAGCGAGTAAACCAATCGCTCTCCAGCAGCGATGGTTTCAGTGTTAGTGGAATGTATGTTGAGTGGAATCGACACCAAGGTTTCGACGGTGGGAATATCTGCAAAGGTCGCCACTGAAACGCTTATATGAGGACCTAGCGTGGATAATAAGAACGACGATGAGTTCTAAGCAGTACAAGACGCACTAACATGAGTAAGAATGACCGCAGAAAAGTTGATCTCGCAGTGGTGTTCCTTAGGGATTGTCTGGAGCAAGTCTGGAGACATCGGCGAACCTGCTCTTTGTAATAGTGGGCAGCTTCCACGATAGCTCCGCCACCAGTTCCAGCTTCTTCATTTTTCACCACTTGCACATAAAACAAAAAACGCTCCAAATCCTTGATGAGTCCGGCAAAGTCGTCAATGAGAGCCGAGATGCGTAGATCTCCGTTGGTTGTGTATGGACCGATTGTACTTCATCCTAGTTCGCGAAACGGGGGGAGTCGCCTGAGAATCCTGATGAGCTCGGATTTTCGCTCGTCCTCGGTAGAAAAGATTTCTGTTAAGACCTGAGCTGGCGAAAGACAGCGACATCCACGTTGTCAGGTTTTGATGTATGGACGTTGTATTGAAATTCGCAGAGAATCGGGTCCATTAGGGAAGCAGGTAGGGGCTCATCAACGGTAACGGGCCTTCCGCAGGCAATGAAATGGCGATCGTTGGATTGTTTAACGCGAAAATTTTCGAGTAACGCTTCCGACGATGGGGCTTGTGGTGGGTTTCCAGACAAAAAGGTATTTCGTGAAACAATGGTGGGGAGGTCCATTGCTGTATCTTCTTCGTTGATGTCGGTCATGGGAAAGCTGGATGAGGTTCACTGCATAGAAGAATGGATATTCAATATTGTTTCATAACTGCAGGGGCCACAATGATATGGACATCATTTTCAATATCTACAAATGCCCCATGGGTACACGAAGTTGAATTTGATGTTCGGTTCAAGCTTCTCCAACGTTTCGAGATCGAGGGATATAATCTTTTCGGCGTTATACGCTGTGTCAATCGCGGGGGGCTGACAAAGTTTAGTACAGAAGTTAGAACGGATATCGGACGTGAATATCGGTACACCTTGTAAAACACGATATCACGCATGCCAAGTTTAATCGCGATATTTTGTAACCGGCAGCGTCCAAGAGTCAAGTCATTAAGTAGTCGGGACTGATTTAATGACCGTTGAAATATACATCAGCGTGTTTTTGCATCCCTATTTAAAAAGAAA